TAAATCAGCTAAATAACGTGATACAAACAGCCCTGTCTGCAGCGACGTATAGCCTAGCTTCCAACCTGTCTCTCTCAAAGAAGCAGAGCCCACTCTGACCTCACTACAAGACAAAAACAACATGGAGTACATAATGATGACAGCCTGAGTGGAGGTCAGGACCAGTGACATACACTGTGCAGGAAGCTGGTCGAGTTTTGTTGGAAAATGAATAACTCCATTGGTTCTCCAAAATAGGTGTTCAAGTATGATTTTGATTACCCAGCATGCCTCTGTTGACCTCAAACATTGAGGACCTGACAATTGAGCCTTGAAACCTTTGAATTTAGAATTTTCTTTCTTTGACTGACTCAAATAAGCATCTTTGTAACCATGACATTCATCACCTTTTACCAGAAGTGTCCACATTTTACTACAGATATAGAAGTGTTGATTTAAAGGTCACTAAATCGTGGCTGGGAATTTATTTTTCCGTATGCATTTTTTTTCAATTTGTCTCCGGCATCTAGTAGTTATTGATGAACGATGATGGGGGGTGATAAGGACGATAACTCTAATAATTCAATTGATAAATCAGGCTGGCTCGGAATCTATTAGAACTCTGTGCCGTCCTCATCTATAACCAGTGGCTGAACCCTGCCAGCAGTCATTTCCCATCTCACAGACTGTCTGGATGACTGATCAGGGTTGTGATTGTCTAGCTTCTCCCCAACACCCCACCGCCACATACGTCAGCGGCAGCACATACATCTTGAGCAGTCTCTAACTCTGAGCCGGAGCTCTATAGAGCCCCAGTAAATGTTGCAATCAGCGGGAGAATTGGCCCAATTCCTCATAACCTTGTCTGCACGTGGCACCTTGCCTTGAATCATAAGAGCTGGAGGCCGGAGCAAGTGTTCAATCTGTCAGTGAAAGCAGCTATATTGCCCCAGTATAGCTGAAGAGGGTAAATCGACATTTAATTATCTGTGTCTGCCTGCAGAAGCTGCATGGGCATTGTAGAACTGATGTAATGGAGTCGCCACACACGCCGCCATGGCAGCGATATGTGCAAACAGCAGATGTATTACATTGCAGCTTGTTTCATAAGGCATTGTGTGCTATGCCTGACAGGTACTTTGAACGTTTTTGAAATGTTTTAATTCTATGATGTTTTAAGGCCTTTGAAAAAGGGAGAAACATGAAAAAATACATTTTAGGAGTACTTCATTACAGTCAAATGAAAGCCTAAATATGGCATATTTATTCCCAAACATCAAGCTTCCATGCCGTTAAAACTTTTTTTTATGTCTTTCTCGTCTCTTCCCAGAGATCAATACAGCTCTCTTCGTAATTTCAAAAGTTGACTCTGTGGCCTTTGGATCAAACAATCATCTTTTCTTCTAACAAAGCAAAAGCTTCACCCTCTAAAAAAGTGAATCCCACATCGAAAAGATTTGAAAAACCAAAGAGTTAGACTGAGAGATGAGTTCCTATTGACCCATTGTTGAGGGGGAGACGTTCGATCTTCAGCATTATGTGCAGTCTGATGGCAGAGTTCTTTATGTTCCTCTTGAAGAGAAGAGCAAAATCAATGGTGAAAATGTTTCACATGATTCATTTTTAAGGCTCAATCGAAGCATGGCAATTTTTCGAAATAATTATGAACAATCTAGCATCTCAGATTGCACATCTTCTCCAGCCAATCACAAGGTGTGTAAGCAAGCGGTGAAAGGCGTCATGTGGAAAATTGATTGTCTTCTTTCTCCTCTCTCACAACCTTCCAAAAGAAAAATAAACAAAATGTGCTGATCAATCCAGTCAACATAAGTACACCTCCTGTCAATGTCTCAGGCTTCACAAAGGAGACTCGGTGTTTCTGGAGCCATTAGTTATGACCAACTTGCCAGACAAGGCATTGATCGCCGGGCCAGTTGTAAATGCAACAGCAATCATTTCACAGAAAAGAATAGAGCTGACTATCCTGTGCTGTCGTGTATGGATGAGTGACCTGTTTAAATAATGCGGACTGAAATTACTTTTTAATTTACTCCAGAGTACAGAATGTGCTGAGTTATTCCAACAGTTGTTTGATGATGTTACTTAAAGTACATATTTTGTCCCTTTCTAAAGATATTTTAAGGGACTTGTTTGTTGCCTTTATTGGACAGGACAGCTGAAGAGAGACAGGAAATGTTGGGAGGAGAGAGTGGGGGATAACATGCAGCAAAGGGCCAAGGTCAGATTTGAACCCATGGCTGCTGTGACAAGGACTAAAGCCTCTGGACATAGGGTTTGACATCACATTTTGTCAGTTTTAAACCATTACCGTTAATTTTTCTCTTGCATTTCCATTTTTATTTTAAACTGTCCCCTGTATCACGATTTACTACAAATATTGTTTAAAAACATTCATGTTGTTAAAGAACGGCCCTTCAATGGAATATCTCTTCGATCATGTTTTTTCTTTGTGTGAAAAAAGATTTGCACACCAAGGACCTCCCGTTTAAAAGATTTATTACCAAGAAACGTTTCGAGCCAACATGATCAACTCTGGAAGAGCATGTTGGCTCAAAACGTAACTTTAAACTCTTTCAACACTTTACATTTTTTTAAGGTCACATATTATGCATTTTCACTAAATATACAAAATATATGTGTCCCTAGCCTGTCTACAAATCCCCCAATTGTGAGAAAAGTCCATCCTCTCTGTATTTTGCCTGCTCCACTTTTCAGAAAATGTGTGCTAAAACAAGCCGATTGGAGATTTTCCCTTCATGACATCACAAAGGGCAGTAACTCCTCCCCAGGTGTGTGTCTCTTCCACAACTAGGTATTTGTTCTAGTCTGCCTTCTCACTGTAAACAATTGGGCATGGTGAGAGAAAGCCTAAGGCACATCCCCTTCTAGAGGGGCGTGGTCAGACACAGCTCATTTGCATTTAAAGCTACAGGCACATAAACAGCGTGTTCCAAGCACAGCTGAAATAGAGGGGGATATAGCATTATAATAAACAGGACCAGAGTGGATTATTAGCAAGAAACTTCACAGACATGTTTTGGGGATTTCTGAGACTTATTTTAAGTTGTTGAAAAGAAAGATAATTTGTGACCTTTAAAAAGGAGCTACTTGGTGTGCGGATCTTTTTTGGCTCTTTATATACATTTTTTGGGGGGGAATGTTGGTATTGGTTGTATTTTACCTCTGGCTTAATGACATGCCACAACATTTGATTGATTTTCAGCTAATTTGTCAGAATGAATAACTGACCAGACATGAAAATAAAAACACAACTATTTTAATTATTTGCAGAATATCCATGCAAACAAATTAGCGACATATTTGTAATTACTCTCATTGCCAGAGTGGGGAGACAAAAGTTCCACACTAAGATTTTGAGATAAATTCCACCTCCAAAGTACTTCTCACACATAATTGCATTAGTGCTTAATTATATCAATAAGTGTTAGGTAATGAAATAAAAACCATAATGGATTTATTTGTGTACTTTGGATACTTTCATTATTGATTCTTTCTCCTTTCAGTTCTTTGACTAAAAAGTTCAGCTTTGAATTTACAACTCGAATCTGCCCTTGTTCCGACTTAAATAAGGAATTTGACTTTTCCAATAAACATTTCTGACTATGTGTGTTTTTTTTCTTATTATAAAACTACTTGCGTCACTTCCTCCAACTGCTAAAGTGCATCTCTATTATTTCTATAAAGGCAGAATGAACAAGTGGCACGTCTTACAAAGACTATGGTTAAAAAGAAGACAGGACTGATGGGTCAATAATTTAATGCCACAAACTAAACCCTGGTTGCTTCAACAGCTGTTGAAGAGGTGAAAATTACCCTGAATTACCAATTCTTTACATGTCCTATCTTTGTGTCACAGTGGGGGACTCCTGTGCTCCGGGGTCTGACTCCCTCCACTTATCACCCTCAGGTGATTGAGAGCACAGACCTCCATCTCTCTATAGAGGGCACCCACAGACCCAGAATGTCTTGTTTGCTGGAGCTGTGTACATTTTGTATTTGAAAGAGCAGCGAGTCAATGAATCTCGATAATGCGAGAGCCAGGCCACATAACTCACGTTGATAGTCCTTACATTGTGCCAAGAGGCGATAAATCTGCTCGGGGAGACATGAATATGCAGTGGCAGTCAGTCTGGCTTGTTCCTGCGTGCATGCCCCCTGATGCACCGTTTATTCCTCTCCCCCATTCCAAACAGAAAAATAAAACCAATGAGCCGCAGCACTATCTCATCAACACTGTTCTATTAAGCACAAAGGGATGTAACAGTGTATTTTTCAGAACTAAAAAAACTGCAAATCTGCAAAGGAATGTTTGCTCTTATGACCTATTAGAACTATAAATTATAAAATATATTATCATTATTTTCCTCATGCAAATGTTTTTTTATTCTATCTATCTATCCATCTCTCTATCTATCTATCTATCTATCTAAAAATTGGTAGTTAAAAATAAGTTATTCCCACATGCAGGCTCCATTGTTCATCTTTCCAAAGTTAATTTCAGCCTTTCTATCAGAGAAGTTTAATGTATCAGTTTAAGGCAAAAAGCACTGAAATCTATACCATAAACAGGCAATTCATTTGCTTCTTTCCTCCTCCTCTGCAGTGCTGAGGGAGACATGAGCAGCCCTCTCTCTATGAGCTTGTGTATGTAACCTGCAGCTTGTATTTGACGGCTCTGTGTAAGGCATGAAAAATGGACAGACAGATAGGCAGCGAGCAGTTACGGGGCTTTAATGCACTCATTGACACAGACAGAATGTCTCAAATAACAGCGATAAGAAGCCTGCTTTGTCAATGGCCCAATCCCCAGCTGACACTTATTTCCCTCATGCAAATAATTCATCCCATTCACAATCCTGCAGGCAGCCGGTGGGGGTTTCCATCTCTCTTTGCTAGAGGCTAAGGAAAAATTTCCATGCCAGTGCTGTAAATAAGAAATAAATCTGCATCTGTAAGATTCCTGAGAACCCCAAATCCTTAATCTCTTTAAAATAAATGTGGAGGAATACACGGAGAACAGAATGCACGTGTTTACAACAACTGGACAAGCAGATAACCGGGTCATCACTCGGATCCCTCTCACCTCCATAAAATACTTCTTGGACATACTTGACAAGTATGCGTAACGACGCGTGCCTCTAGTGGCACCGTGGAGGGAAACGAGGGTCGTCAGACGCACGCAGATGCGCGGCTTTCTGCACTACCTTTCCACCCAGCACAAACTGAAAGATATAGAAAATGAACATCGTGTAACAAATAGGCTTTTTGAGCAGATTTTGGACCTTCTTCAATAACCAGCCTCGCGCCATCACCGCGCGCAACTGGAGAGGAGCGTCACGGAGCTTCCTCACAAAGTACCTCTGTGTTTCACGGACAGTTTCCCTGACTGGAGTGATTAAACTGCAACAAGCATTTTGGACACGTCGTGTAACGCTTTTCTCTGCCTGTCTCGTATCGTTCGAGGCGACCCAAAGTTCCGCAGGCGCAGTTCTCCTCCTCAGCAGCGGTGCGGGAGTCGGGCTCGGCTGTTGCCGTGGTGCTCGCCAGTAGACAGATAGCATCGGCGGAAGGAGGGGATACAGAGACTCCTGCAGGCTAATTGTAGCAGCCTGTGTTCGCAGGTGTATCACTGATTCGCCTGTGAGAGGACTGGGGGGCTTCATCCTTATCGAGCTGCTCTCGGACTTGTGAGTAAAAGAAAAAAAAAAGGGGGGGAAAAACCACCAGAGAGAGAATGTTGCATCAAGTACAATGAGCGCACATTTGTCGCAGGCACCAAAATCCATTTATGCTCCGTCGAATTCAGTTTTGATGAGCAATTCTGAGTCGTCTTTGGAATTTTAAAAAGTGGATCCCGAGACTTTACAACCATGCGAAACACTTGGCTGTCTCCCCGGAGCGCGATTTGGAAATACTGGACGTTGCTGATTGCATGTCTCTTTTGGATTCAGTACTCTTACGGGATGCCGCATGTTATTCGAATAGGTAAGTTGTCTACATGAACATTTAAACACACACACACACACACACACACCCATGCACGTACGTTTGTATTGTAACCTTGAAAGTTGCTCCTTATGCAGTGCGGGTCCTCAACGCGGGTAGTTTTGGAGCGTAAATGAGCAGTCCCCGGCTCGTGCGTGGATCTTCCTTTTTCTCTTAAATGAGGGACAACCAGGGAGCAGTGCATTATTCAAAACGATTGCCTATAAAAAAAAACTGGGGATGCCTTCTCCACGAGACCACTCAGTGAAATATTTTGGGTTAGTGTGACCTCTATGCACCCTGCTTTGTCCGAGCCATTTTCTGCAGCCAGCTTGTTGAGTCACCAGTCAAAATCAGGCTCATTGCGATTCTAAAAAGAAGTTTTAGCCTTTAAGAACAGACTGCTACATTTAAAGCAGTATCAAATAAGATTACAGAGAGTTTTACGCACTTTATTCTGGTAGATAAGAAAGTTCCATCTTATCTGGGTTGATCTCATCACTCTAAGCAAAGCAAAGTTCATTGAAACGGACTAATTTTGCTCCAAGTTTCCTTCCTTGTGATCTTTTATACATAGAAGACGCGCATAAAGCAGCAGCAGCAGCAGCACTAGGGTTTGTGCAGCGTTGTCACTTTTCCAATCACTCACGGAGAAACAATGTGAGAATTGTCATTCGGAGCCTGGCGATGTGATGAAACATTTTGCGCCGCCAAGAGACAAGAACAGAATGAAGATCAATACGGGTTTTGTCACGAGGCAAATCGGTTTTGACATTTTGGCGGAGTGCCGTGCAGGACAATTACTCAAAATGGCATTGGCCCACATTAACATACCCACTAGAACAGCCGGAGCACAGACAGGCAGGCAGAGAGGGAGAGAGTGAACCTTAATGGCAGGGAGCGTTTTGTCTTGGAGGTATAAATAATGAGAAGTGAAAGTGGATGGATGTTGGAAAAACTGCATATTGTATATTCCAGTAGTCCAACAGAAGTAAATGGTCGCTCCAAAGCAGTTGTCTCCTGTTTGACATGTCTGCAAATCACCAACATCCTGCTCTGATTTTCTAATTCATAATTCCTGTCAGGCTCGGTGGGTGGTCGTAGAAAAACGGCATTAATTCAAATTAAAGTCATTAGATCTGCACAGACTGAAGTAGAATTATTCAGCTCTGTAACCTTGAATGTTGATGTCAGTCCTCCTTTAGATTATCTATAAAATCAAAAACGTATTCCACAGAAAGACTCGGAATAAAGTCAAAGACAGTACAATAGAGCATCATGTGCAGCTGTCCAGCAGGCCCTGAATGTCTCTGTGATCGACAGCTGCTCTCTGTGGAGCCATGACTCCTCTGACATTGCTGTGTATGGACTTTGGTGACATCTTAAGAAACTGCATAAATCCTTAAAGCTCTCTTCTACTGATCTGAACTGAAATCGTTTGGTCAGAAGGACGTCTTCTTTTCTTTCCCTTTTTTTTTTTTTTTTTTTTTTTTTACAGTGGCAGCAGCTCAAATGAAGACTTGAAATAGACCTGACAGGCTTTGTTTTTTAAAAAAATGTCAAAGTGCTGAGACAAATGTACCTTGAAATGTGCTACAGTCGCACCATTGCTTTTTTTAGAATCTATCATGGCTTGCCGTGCGGGAGCAGTTTGCTTTCCTTGTGTTGTTTTCTGAGGTTGGATTTTGACAAGCGGAGAAGAGGGATATGAGACAGACACCGAAATTCCTCCAAATTCCCCCCAAAAAAAGAGAATGTGGAAAAAAAATCTTCATATGATCTCTTGAAGCTGAGTGTTTAAGTAGAACGTGCATGTGTGTAAAATAATCCATCGAGCTGGATCTCTTGAAAGCAGGCCTGTGTGTGAAAAAACACATTATACTATTAAGAAATCGCACAAAATAATTATTTATATAGTTTTATTTTATATATATGAATAGTGGTTTTGCACAAGTGTGTGTACGTATTATTGCAGATATATTGTTATTTTCTCCATGAGATAATGCTTGTATTCACAGTCTGTTGGTTCATTGGCGCCCAATCGTGCTCTCCTTTTTAGTGTAATTTGGTACTTGGTGTGCAAGTGTGTGTGTGTGTGTGTGTGTGTGTGTGTGTGTGTGTGTGTGTTTGTGTGTCTCAGCCCCCCCTCTTAAAACCAACAGAGGGCTCTCTTATAGTCCTCACACGGTGGCCGACGTCGCTGCTCAGCACTGGTTCCCAACACAAACAAACCCAGTGAAAAACAGTGAGGTGGGCGGACGATATTCGCTCTCTGTCTGTGCCGTGTCTGCTCTCGGTTAGGTGGCCTGTGCAGCTCTTCCTCCAAGTACACCATCTGGGTAATGGTGGGCATCCAAGGTAGAGTTGTTGCCATTGATTTTAGTGCTTTTTACAGTGCGTTGCTCCAAGTTGAGGCCAGATGGTCGCTCCGTCTCATACTGCAGCTTTTATTTGTTGGAGGGAAGAAAAGCGTACTCCTCCTGTATTTGTCCTCTTAACATGCTGCGCTTCTCTTTAGTCTCCCTCCGCCTGCATTTTGTCTTCTTTTTTTTTTTCCATCTCGCTCTCTTCCTGACATGTTTTTGCAACCTCTCATCTCATCAAGAAACCATCTCAGCTGCTAATGCAATGCTGGTATAATAAAGAGGAAAGTGCTGGAGGATGTGGATGGGATTTTCTCTTGTATGTTTGCCAGTATGGAAATAAGACACATTTTGAAGCAGATGAATGTAATGGATGTTTTTTTGTGCTTTTTTTTTTTTTTTTGCTCTGCAGCATTCTGTCTGTATAATTCATTAATTTCCCTGCATATGCATTGCTTTCTCCTCCATGCATCAGATAGGGATTGCCCAATAAAAACATGGAATTACATGTATTTATAATGTGTTCCATGTTGATAAAGCATGCATTAATGACAGATTATCATACATTGTGTCTTACATCTGCAGACTGATGAAACTAATTCATCATTTGTTGCCTCTTTTCCCCTCACACTGAGGCTATTCACTGCCTGACAGAGATTTATTGAATAATCAATTACTTTATCTACCTAATACTTAAAGCACTTAATCAGTGCCAGTTAATCAATCTCCCTCATGATTTCTTGTTGATTTCATTTCCTTACCATCCACTCTGCCCCGACAACACCTGCTCACATGCGTTTCTCCATTCCGCCTCCCTAGAAAGGCTTCAGGCGGCCATGACGGCAGACACAATTATTGTGTGTAAAACAGCCCCGGACCTTCAAATGTAAGCTGACAAATGTGCAGCACTTGAAGCTGCATGCAGTGTGACCGTTCATAAGCTTCAGTGGGATAAATGGGGTTGGTTGGTCACCACTTTTGGTTGAAGTCTGCAAACACAGAGCCACTTCAGAGGCTTGTCTTTATCCCCACACCAGCAGCAGCAGAGAGAGAGCGACTGAGAAGTTTCCATGTGATTAACTCTTCCAGCCAGCTATAGAGAGAGTGCATCCTCCACTCGCAAGATCCTCCTCAATTTTTTTTTTTTTTTGCAAATGTCTCATGTGAAATGACTCATATTTCAAGAGACTGCGAAAAAAAGGCTGTAATGGTACTTTGCGGTTCTACTTTTAACAAAGTCAAACCCAAAAGGCTGCTTGTTTTGAGAATTACCCACAAGGGGATTGTATGGATGGGGGAACAAAAAGTGAAGTGAAGAGGAGGACATCTATAAAAGTCTTTGGTGATGAAAAGGTACAATGAGGAGGAGATTTTGCATCAAAAATTGTATCAAATTAAGATGGCCATCAGTTGCAGAGTGCAAATGAATTTTTCATTATCATCTAAATTTAATCTCCCTCCAGACCAAGAGAGAGGAAGCAAGGAGAAGCCTGCTAGTGGAGGCTCAGGGGTTGGGGAGATGTTGTGGTGAATAGGAACAAAGGCTGGTAGAGGTCACAGAAAAATTGGATACAGGGGGATGCTTCTTTGATGTGTAATTCCATTATCTGTTAGCCGACACAGAGATTGAAGGAGGGGGGGGATACAACAGTTGTTTTTAACTGCACTTACGCACTCCCCTCTCTCGTATAAACATGGACAAAGAAATGAACTGCTGAAGGAAAAAGCAAGGGTCTATTTCCTGCTCACACACACACACACACACACACACACATGCGGACACACACTTTGTAAAGCCATTCTCCGTCCGCAGTATTTTTCAAAACATATGTCTGGTCTCACCGGGCCTCTTGTACACAATCCAATTCCATTCTCTCTGTCAGCACACTCACAGCTCGTCATTAGCTTCAATCTCGCTGATGAGAAACGGCAGATGTTCGTTTTGTTGAGCAGAGGGCCCCGTCTCTGAACGTGCTGTCGTCTTTGCTTGCCTGTGATCCCGTGCAGAAGCGTTCCAAAGAAACATTCAACTTCCACGAACAAACAAGTGCTCCAGGCCTCCGATAGTTTGTTTTCTTGCTCGAGTACTGAGCCCGTTAAGTCAGTAAACCCACTTGAAATGTATTAAAACAAACTGTCTGAGTCAGAGCGCATTAAATAAACTGTGTGTTTACCTCTCAGACAAGGTGTAATAAATGTGAAATGTGCTCGTAATGTGTGTGATCACTAAAACTAACTAGACTTAAGTGTGTCAAGGAAATGCAGGTGCTTAGCTCCATGTTCAGTCACACATTATAATGATCATCCAATAATCCAAGCCACCAGGGGCTAATAGAACGGATCTACCAACCAGTAACATAATCCTGTGACACAGCAGGGCCCCCATCGAGCCCCAACTAGCTTAGCTTAGCTGCTGCTGCTGCTAACACACCAGATGGTGTTTTCATATCGTACTACAAAGTGGGTGCTCGACAGTGAAAGGTCTGCTGCAAGCATATGCTTCAGATGCATATTGAAATAAATAAGGTGTTGAGTTCCTTCCGGCTAAAAATGTAATCCTTTCATTGAAGAATGACAGAACCACTGTGTCGTTAATATCGATACTCTGTTGCAGACGACAGTTCATGTTGTCATTTT